CCTGCTCCAGCCGCCACAGCCCCGCCTCGAGAACGCCCGGCGCGCGCCCCGGGAGGGGTCCACGCTGGATTCCGATTAGCTGCCCTCTGACCAATCGGCGCTGGCGGCGGAAGGAATTGGCGGGCCTGGAGCAGACGGGCAGCTTCTGCAGCCAATCGCTGATGGACAAAGGCGGGGCTGCTGGCAGAGGCTCAGGTTCCCTCAAGTGCTCCCGCAGGGCGCGAGAATCTGGGAGGCAGGGCCTCAAGGAAGGCGACGATTGGAGCTTTAGTAGAAAACGGGCAGCCTTGTAGACCAATAACTGGGGAGTAAGGGCGGGACTTCAAGGAAGGGTGGCTGCACTGCCGGGGCTGAGTAGAGAGGAACGAAGGGAGTAGCCTGGAGGACAGCAATGACTGGCTGTGAAGCCAAAGATGGGCAGGCCCAAAGGCGAATCGTAGCAGTCGTGGGTGGTGCGCCCCGGGCAGGGCCGAAGCATGCAAGGTGCATTTTGGCAAGCCACGCTTCTGCCGGCTGTGTCCTGGGACTCCCTACGCGTTCCCAAGACTGCCCTCTGGCCACCCACGCCGTCGCGAGCCTCCTGCTCTAGCCGTGAACTTGGACCATTGCAGCAGAGGGACCCGGCTAGTCCTCCAGTCCCTCCCTCTCCACTCTTCCCCTGCAAATGCCACCCGGGGCAGAAGCTTGGGGAGGGCACTCAGCTCTCGAGGCGGGCGGATGTGGGGTCAAGAGGTGGGGTCGGACTCGAGCGCGCGGTGTGACCTTCTGAACCCACGCCTTCTTCACGGAACCCGGGGACATCCCTGCTAGAGCCTTTGGTGAAGTCACCGAATCTTCACGATCCTGAGGTCAGGGTGACCACTCACACCCTTTGCAGAAACCAGAACAGAGGCCGAGCCCCTTGCGCAAGGCCACACAGCACCCCGGTTGCCCAACCTGGGAATAACTGGAACAGGGTCATAGACAACAGACAGAATCCTCGTCACCTGTCTGCTGTACGATCTTGGGCAAAGCGCGCATGACGTGAGGCTTCCTCGTTTGGGAAAGAGGACAATGGGCTGGGGTGTAGCCCTCCACGCTCTGACTCACGCGGGGCTCTCCCTGCATCTGCAGGCCCAGGGCGCCTCATTTCCTCCAGGTGTGGCTGCGGCCAGGCCCTGGAGGTCAGGTTCAGAACCAGAGGCTTGGGAGGAAGCGTCTGAGTTTAAGGGGTCCCCACACTTCGAATGGGAAGGGTGTGACTGCTGCCCTGCTGTGGATGTCACTGCCTGAGGCCACCAAGGGGTCCTGAGGGTCCTCTGGGGCGGTCACTCAGGTCCTGGCTGAACCACACACTCTCACACCCCCTCTGCCAGGTGGAGGTGGCCGCGCCCACTTAGCAGATGCGAAAACCGAGCCTGTGGGTCATTTGGTGGCAGAACCCCAAGGCTGAGTCTGGTCAGTGTCCCCCTCCCGCCTCCCCTTGGTGCTGGAGGTGGAACCCAGGGCTTCACGTATACTCAGCCCTTTTTAAAAATTGTTTTTTTTCAGGCAGGATTTCACTAAGATGCTAGGGCTGGCCTTGAACTTGCAGTCACCTGAGTAGCTAGGACTATGGGCAGGCACAGCTGCACTTGGCTTCCTGTTCTTGTTACTTGCCGGCCACAGGACCTTTAGCACCTGACTCCAGCTCCTTGCCTTAGTTTCCCAGTACCACCCAGGAGGCGTTAATGGAATGGAAGTGAAGGTTTACATGGGTTCAGCTCACAGTAAGCACCTCTGACCACTAGTGTGGGTCCCATCTTCCTGGGCTTGTAACCCTGTCCACAGTGCTCGGGGACACAGGCCAGCTGTGGGGGAGGCTGCCCACCGAAGAGGAAGATGTCTGTGTCCCAGAGGCCCCACCCCTCAGCCCCCACCTGCCAGGCCTTGGGAGGGCGGTGACAAAGCTCCTGGAAGGACCCGTGGTGCCCCTGGGGACAGTGCCAAGTAAGGCAAGGGTCAGTCAGGGCTCCGGTACCGGCTGCCTCTGCTGATGGTGCCAGAGGCACTGGCCGGGCTCCGGCTTCTGCCCACTGGTCAGCAGGCCAGTGACAGCCAAGCTCTCTGCTGTCTTCCAACAGTGGCACGCAGTGGATGCCCGGGATCCCAGCGCCCCTGCCAACCAGGACTGGGCAAAACACAGCCTCTGTGCCTCCCAGTTTCCTCTGCCACTTGGGGATCTCGGGGACCATCTGACACCACAGCTGTGGCCCAGGTGCTCTCCCAGGCCAAGGCAACCAGGCTGGCAGGAGATGGAGGTGTGGAGGAGGCTGAGCTGGGGTTTGGTCCCAGGTGGCCTGGGTTCAAATGAAGAGCCAGGGTCACAGAGGGGAGGTGGCCAGCAGTATGAGAACCAAGGTCTGCTGACAGGGTCCCCAGGCCCAGGCTCCATGTGGCACCCACAGGGGACATCTGCTCCTTCTGCCAAGGTAGGGAGGCCTGATAAGGCGGAGCCACTGTCCAGAAGCACTGGCCCAGGGCTGGGGAGGATGCAGGGCTGTGAGAGAGGCCTCCACCATGTGTCAGTCAACAACACTGACAGTAAGCTGGGTGGTGGGGGACAGGAGCTGCCCACAGTGAGCTCACAGATGGCAGGGGCAGTACAAACAGGAGGGGGTCGTCACACACGAACCTTCCAGGAGTGAGAAGTCAGACACTGGGCACTTAGGGTGATGTGGTGGGGGTGTCTCTGAAGGAAGGGGGCTCCAAGCAATGGGCTCAGCTTGTGCAAAGGTCCTGGGCGTAGAAAATCAATGTGGTCAGGACAGTGAATGAGGATCTAGGGAACATGGGGTCAGAGCCCAGGCCGTGCAGGGTCTGCAGACACAAAATAGTTTGTTTTTATGTGTAAAGCAATGGAGCCATGAGCAGGTTGGATGCTACACTCAGGCAGGAATTCTGTAGACGCACCCCCATGGGACAAAGGACCAACAGCCCAAGGCCTCTCAAGTCACACTTGTGGTCGAATCAGAAATCAGGGAGCCAGGTGAGTCTCCTGTGAGATGGAGGAGGGTAGGGGAGGTTCCTGTCTGCCCTGATTGGCAAGAGCCCCACCTTGGGGCTCAGTAGGCGCTGCAGGGGGATGGACAGGGTGCCGCATCCCCAGCTACAGCCTGGTGGTTTCCATGGAAACCAAGAGCCTGGGGAAGGACCTGTTATGAGGTTGGAGCCAAGCTCAGGCCAGGAGCCACCAAGGTGGGAGTGGCCTGTGAGGGGCCACAGGGTGTACCAGCTGCCCACCCGCGACCACTGTGCGAACGCCTGGGATGTGGGAGTGGCCTCGTGGTCGCAGGTGACGATGTCTATCCTACAATGGAGAAACTGAGGCTGAAGCCACCCACGCCTGAGGACCCTGAGAGACAGATGGCCCTTGCAGAGCAGTGATGGGGGCCCAGTTCCACCCGGCCTGCACCAGTGCTCTCAAAGTGGGCCGGACCGTCATCCACTCCCCGGGCAACCCGCTCACAGCGGACGTCCAGGGAGCTCATGTCCTTTGCAAAGGCCACTGAGCAGGCTGTGTGCCGAGCCCCAGCCATGTGACCCTGCCCACAGCTGGCACACCTCCAACCGCTCCCAGGGCCCCCCAGGCTCAGCGGAGCATGGAAAAGGCCCCTCCAGCGTCCTCCGATGATCTTTATTACTGGACACCACGTGGCCAAGACGCAGAGCCGGGCACCTGATACCCATTTACAGGCGAGATATCCCGGAGCAGGGTCACGGTGGACACCGCCCGGACTCAGGCGGGAAGATGGTGCCCTTCCCCCCAAAGAAACGCCAAGACAGCTCTGCGACAGACGGGGCGCCAGAGGGGAGGGGCGGGGGTCGCGGGGGCGGAGCTGAGCCAAGGTCAGGGCGCCAGGTCGCCCTTCTGGCCGGTCCA